GGGGGGGAAGGGGGGTTGCTATTCTTTCTAATATAATGTTTCCCATAAGGAAGAAACGTAGACTTCTCCTGAAAATGTCACGGCCTTTCTGATGATTGCCTTCAGGGCTTAATCATTGAACTTGCTGTTTTTTAAGGGTTAGTTAATTGAAGCCTGTCTCACAATAATCATCAGAAAGGTAGATGCTCAGCAGTATGGCAGAATATCTTCTACCTTCTGGAGCACGTCATGTTGAGTCCCTTCTAAAAGTCTTTTTTTTTCTGGGATGGAATGGTGAGGGGTTAGAAAAGTGTTTTTCAAGCCAGGGTTCAGTGGAACCTTAGAACTTCTATGAAGGTTGCTTGGGTTCCTTGAGTAGCAAGCAATGACAAATTGATCTCCCACCTACAGTTGACCACAAATTGATCTCCCACCTACAACTGACCACCTTACCATTTACCACCAAAGTAAGGGGTCACTTCTACACTGACCACTAATTTGCTTCATTTTATCATTTATTTAATCTCAACATTATTCCAAAAAATGGTTTTGTAGGGCAGTATTAAAAAATATTTGCCATGGATGTCGCATTAACATGTTGCACAACATTACGTATTCTTTTTTTGAAACCTTTCTACAATTTATTGATCATGCTAATGGCCCTAAGCTGTAGATACAATTATTTTTAGCAGGAGTTCCTTGAAAGCTAAACATTTTCAAGGATTCCTCAGGGGTAATAAGGTTGGGAAAAGCTGGGTTAGAACCTTGCCAGGTGCTTATTGTGCCTATTAAGTAGATTCAGCCTCTCTATTTGCCCTAGGTCCCATTGTCACTGGAAAACCAAAATGTTATGGTTTTTACTAGGACAGGAGTGCAATCTCCCCCTCCAGGACACCTGTGTTAGTTACAATTGCTTGTAGTGTCTCCAGCACAGGAAATGAGTAGGAATGTCCCTAATGTAACACAGACCGCAAGAAGAAACTTGACAGTGGTTTTAATGTTTCCTACTCTGTAAGAAAACACAAAAAAAGAATTTTGCATTAACTTTAAATATACTTTAAGTAGATGTAGAACAGAATTTGGTTTCCTAAAGCACTAGGTATCAGGCAGCTGGTATGTTTTGATTTAAAAAAATGTATATTTAACTTTTTTTCACCCTTGTGTGCATCTCAGTCCTGCTGATCTTGGGGTTACAGATAGTTGTATGTATCCTTTTATTGAAGCTCTGTTTGTTACCATATACAGGTGGCTAAGAAATGGTCACCCGGTCAGTGATCAGGATGGTCTGGAGATATTAGATGGAGGAAGGACTTTAGCCATAGGTCTCATACAGTCAGGACATGCCGGGAGGTACACATGTAAAGCTGAAGGGGATGCTGGCTCTGCAGAGGCTACAGTAAATGTGTTGGTGCAAGGTAAGAATATATGTTTGGAATTATTTCTTCTCCATCACCTTGATTTTGGAGCTTTCATGTAAGTTCAAGGTACCTCCTTGATCATACCCAGCAGACAACGCAGTCTACTTCATCTGTAGGACTACCTGTGTGTAACTCCATTTCCTGTGCCTTAAGCTGCACACAGGACTTATTTCAAGTTATGTATCATTCTTTTTAAAGCAGCTGGCACCTCCACAGGTATTAAATGTGCAGTTTTTTTAGACATTAAAATAAATACATACACTAACTGGTTATTTTTAAAAGAAACTAATAATTAACTCTAAAAATGCTGGTTCCCTGTCTGTCCTGCCAGTCTTTTGCTTCAATGATTTCTAAATCACTGAATGTGTTTGTATCCAAACACGGCCAGGCAACTAGCGTTTTCAGAAGGAGGTCAGCAATGGCATCCTCCATATTCCTCTTATGACAGTAGATCTTAGCAGCCATTAAAGCGTAACTCCAAAAATGGAAGAGGTGGAGATCATGATATCATCTGCCCCTCCTTCCCACCTCATTGCCTTTTATGCATTAAAAAAGAACAAGGTGCTGTCTGAATGGCAGCAGTTCCAACGAGCGACTTCCCGTCCTCATTGTGCAGAGGGGAAGCTGCTGGAGCCACCCTTGGATGATCACGGCTATCACTGCATGTATTGCGGACTACTACAGTTATTTTTAGCATCCTCAGCTTTACTTGCTTCAGATATGGATACTTGCATCGAGCCAAGCTTGACCAATATAAGTGTCCATAAAAGATCATTGCTGGAGTTCTGCTTTAAGTGTCCTTCATAAATGCATGCCTCAGTTAAATATATATATTTTTTATTTGCAAAGAAGTTACAATTGTAAGTAAACTAAATAACATGTAGCACTTGCTCACATTAATAAGATCTATGCAAAGTGCCTTTTGCAATAAAGTGCACACATAATGAACGCAGCATAACTAATAACTATCAAAATTCATATAAAGTGCATTTCATCAGTATTAGACGTTGTCTTAAATCAAAATTTAATCTGCATTAAATAAAGTGCAAAGTGCCTAAACCATATCCAATTGTATCACAAACAATTACATCCAATGTCCATTTATATAGTGTAATCCATATATTCCAGCCTCTTTCCTTCATCACTTCTACTTCAATAACCACCACTGTATTTTAATATTTCCCCTGTGCTCTGGTGCTTCACCCTTAAGTAGAATACTCTTCACTATTTTAGGTGGACCCTCTCTTAACAAAGATTAGTTCAATTGTGCTTATGTGTTTATAAAACACTTCAGACCCTCCTTATCTGCAGCAATTCTTTCACAGCAGTATGACACTATCATATGCAGCTTAGCTCAAGAGAAAACAAACAAAATCCATAGTGCAACCCGTATAATCAAATATCTTTAATAAAAAATGCCTAAAAACTTACAATAAATGTATGCATAATAGCCAGCAATAAAATTCCAGACCACTTCTAACAACTTACATACACAGGGAGCTTTAGCGTTAGTCCTCCCCTGAGGCGCCCCCTGGTCCTGCCCGGAGTAGTGATGCCACCAGCTCCGCCCATGCGTTGTGTCATTAGGGTTTCGTCAGGGACAGCCATGTTATTTATTTACTTACTATTATAAGTATATAATAACATATGCTATAAATGTATAATAACAGTAGCTATTAGATTGATATAAGGGGAAAGTAATTTGAGTGCGGACGTTTTTATAACATAAGTTAGATTTAATCAATAATGAAAAAGAAAGCAGCTAACCACAGGTAAGTCTTTGGTGCCCTGGGCCTAAGACACTATCTATGTAACATTTTTATAACTACATACCTTGCTTATTTATTTCCTCCATAACTGCTCTTCATTTACCTATTTGCCACCTCCAGGTTTCAGTGATGGCACTAAATAAAGTTTGTCATTTTTATACTTGGGTCAATGGTTTTCTTTACTAAGATTTCTGCCCAGCACTGTTTGGTGAGACTACTTTTCTTTTGCAACAGAACTGCCTGTGGTCAGCATTGCGGGCGGCGGAAGCATGACTGCAAAGTTACAGGAGCCGATAACCCTGGAATGTGATGTCTCTGGATCACCATCACCCTCCGTCAGCTGGTGGAAGGATGGGTTCCAGTTATCAACCAATCAGCTTACACTGCAGGTACGCAGCACACGAGTGCTTCCTAGTGCACTATGAGAGCAGGAGAGCAATTACCTGATGATGAATTGTAGCCATCTATAACATGCAATGTAATGCATCTGGATAACTTTTTTTTTAACCAATCCCCATGATTATTCTTTACCTTTTACTGGCTGTCTGATTAAGAGTTGGCTCTGTCTAGCTGTCTGGCTGCAGAGTGGTAATTAGGGCCAGGCAGAGGTGTAAGTAGACAGCTGCTTGGGGTGCTTCAGAAGGAGGGGGGCACCAAAAAAGGGCAGGACCTGCAGCCAATGCAGCTAAAGTAGATGATGGCTCATCAGGGGGACAATTTGGCCTTTTCACCTTGAGTGCTGAAGGACCTTGTCATGCCACTGGTTGTAATATAGCTACTGGTCCAACCAACTCAGCAGCACCTACTACATAGTATGATAATGTAATGTTGCTGTGATGAGAGATGGTGGCATGACGGTGGATATGATATTCTGTCTCACAGGAGCTTCTGCACACAGTGGCCACAGACATTCCCTGATGTTGATGTCAATGGGAGGAGTAGAGCCCCATTACTGGTAATAGTGGGAGGGATCATTTACTTATTGTTGATGTCATTTGGAGAAATTTTTCCCAACGTTTGTATCAGAGAGAGGAATAGCACACTAAGGCTAATTAAAGTCAAGCAAAGAACCACATGTGGTTCTCTAGAATGATATGATCTTTGCATGCTCCAGAGATAAAGTTTGTCACTCTGTTGTGAGTGGTCAGAGACCATTGACCAGGGTCTAGAGTGCTTACACATCAGGTATCCAAAAAGCAAAGTGGTCAAAGGACAGGTAAACAGAGGTCAGGGTACTCTGGTGGGGGGGGGGTGCTGCTAGTGTTGGCAAGTTAGGCAGAACGCAACTCTCCTGTAATCTAAAATGCATTTTGTCTTGATTAGATTTTCATGCAAAATACTATACACTTTGCAACTCATTAGCAGCTAAAAAAACTGTAGGCTACATCTTGTATATTAACCACTTGCCGTCCGCCCACTGTCTCTGCACGTTCAGACCGCTGTCAGCTCTCGGCGGGAAAATGTAAATACAGGTCCATTTTTATTTTTTTTAGCTTGCGTGCCCCCTAGCATGGACACGAGCAATCTATTGCACAGTGTTATTTAAACCAATTGGTGCTGAGCCAGTGAAATCAGCCTGGTTCTGTGTGATCGCTGTGACCAATCATAGCATATCACTAAATGGAAACATTGTTGCTGTTTCCAGCGATATCTCCTTATCTCTCACACACTGTTTGTTTGTGAGAGGAGACAGTGACAACCATTTCAAACAATACTTTGTTATCCAGCGCATTCTAGCAGAAATGTATGAAGAAAGATTATTTATGTGCAATGTTTCATAGCTTAACATAGGGAAACAGGTTATTTTTCAAAATTTTCGGTAATTTTTTCTTAATATAGTAAAAAATAAAAAACCCAGTGGTGAAAGCTCTATGTGTCCCTTGCATGGTTGCATAATTGTCAGGCAAAGTACAGCAGCGCTGAATACTGGAAAATGGCCTGGGCAGGAAGGGGGTTTAACAACCCGGTCATCAGTGCTTTTCCCCATAGTTCTGCTAAGGGTGAAATGGCTGTGGCATTTGTCAGTATTTAAACTGAACAACTTGTTTCAATAAATCAATAACACATACATATATTTCACTCTATACACATCTACCCAGGGAGAATGGATGCTCAGCAATTCATTTCTCTATCAATCTGAATTACATAAGCATATGAACAATATATTTGTTTCTCCCTCCGCACCAGCAATGGTATGTTCCTTGGTGTCCTCACGTTATATACATTTTGTGGAGCATGATGAATCCCAGGACCTTAGCCTGCTGGAGCGGAGGGGGAGCAGGGTTCAAGGTACCAGTCTAAGAGCATGCTGGGATCGTGGTTCGGGTGAGTATAACTCTGTTGTTTTAGCTCCCTAGACAAAACAAGCACTTTACCCTTGCAGTCCTGAATTACCTCCCTGCTAATTGAACAGAGGTAATGAAACTAATTATTGTCAGTGAGTGACCTGGAAGTGGAGTAGTGATGGAGGAAGCTGCATTGCTGAACCAGGATATAAGTATGTCACTTGTCTGGCTGTGCAGTGTGGCAGAGATGTGCAGTGTGGCAGAAATCACAAGATTGGCTGGGCAGAATTAGTACAATTTAGCTGTTTTTCTGGAGTTTAGCTTTAAGGATTAAAACCTCAGAAAAGAGTTCTTTACTAAACAATGTTTTTTCTCTCTCTCATACTTCTTGAAATACTAACCTGGATTTTTCTGACAGATTGAGGCAATTTCCATTGATGATGAAGGCGTTTACACTTGCGTGGCTGCCAACTCTGCCGGAGAGGGAAGACAAGATGTTGTGCTGAATGTGCTTGGTGAGTGGTTTTTTTTTTAATATGAAAAATGTGTTAGATACAGAAATATAACAAAGAGTAGAACCGCGTGCTTGGTGTTTAAGGGGGACCTAGGAATCGGCAGCAAACAGAGGCTATATTATAACACCCCCCTTTCCCAATCCTAAATTTCTAGGTGGGTGCTTCAAGGACCACTTTAATGACAATCCACAGGCTCCACTGTGTTATTAGAAATATTATTACAGTAGCCTGACTGCATCTGGGCTATGTATGGTTCCCCTTTATGTTGTTCAATAATCACTGAGGTCATCTGATGATAGAACATATGTTCATGTTCTGTTCTGTTTAGCTCTGCCACTGCATGCATTGGTCAGGTTTAAATGGCTTAATTTTGTTCTGTAGAGACACTTTTAGTCATGCCATTGCCCTCCCTCCATTACTAAATGCTTTCTGTTGTGTTGGATGAGCAAATTTCTGATTGCATTTTTGTGCATTTTTTCACCTGTTTTCTAGTACCTCCTAATATTGAGCCAACTGATGTGAACCATACTGTGGTGGAAAATCTCCCAGCATCCTTAGAGTGTCTGGCATCAGGAAGCCCTCTGCCTGGTAAGAAGTACACACTGCTACTGCATTTATATGTCTTCTAGCTTTGCTATTTTAATTATAGCATATAGGCATGGATATAGAATGAAACCTAAAAGATAACTATGATGTAACTGTTTTTCCCCATAGTTCTCTTAAGGATCACGGGAGGACATATACTAACGTCCTCCCGTGACCCAAAGCTCAGTATACCGCGAGCTACAGCTTGCGGTATACTGAGACCGCTGCAGCCGGGACGGATCCCGACATTACTGTCGAGATCCACCCAGCTGCATGAGTGACAGCGGGCTCTGCCTATCTAGAGGGAGAGCCAGCTGTGCCCACCTCCTTCCCTGTCCGTTCTTCCACTCAGCGCTGGAGGATCGGAGCGGGGAGGGGGGAATCCCTGCAGGGAGCTGTGACTGACATTCACTACTCTCTGCAGTGAGATGATCGAGAAGTGAGCGAGCAACGGTATGTGTTCACTCACTTCCTGATCTATTGAGCCGACGTGTGACAGTTTTGCCTCATAGTTCTCCTTTAAATATAGCTAAAACGGTTAATTATGTGCCTTTATTTTACTGCATTGATATATCTTTAATCAACATTGTGTTGGCATTAAATTCCTTCTTTTAGGTAGTTTTCTTTTTAACATACTTTTATTGAACTTTCATATTTAACATATATTCATTTTTAAATTTAAACATTTAACTCTTTCCTGTTTGTTTGTTCACTTGTCAATGCTCTTGTCAAGCTTTAAAGAGAATTATAATGGAATTTAATGGCAATAAAGGCGCAATAATGTAAAAAGAAAATAAGCAAGATCGAAGCTACAGTATGTCACAGTTTTTAAAAATACAAAGTAATACAAAACGGTTGTTAAAACCTGTTTACCGTATACAAAAATTGTGAGAAATACAATTTTACAATGGTCGAGGAGGGTTTGTACACAACAGTGAAAGAATAAACCTATATATGACATTGATAAACTTCTAACCATGACCGTCTCCGGTGAATTATTACATACATATTCTCTGGTGACACAATGTGCATCTCAAGCCACATTTATGGAAATATAAAGGTGTATAAAGAGTAGAACCTGTGGTGGTTATCATGGATCCAGTTTAGATGTAAATTTACACCGTAGGTCCCAGATATTGTCACATTTCTGGGGGCAATTTAATTTCCTATAAAAATTACTTTTTTATACATAATGACCTGATTTCAAAAAGTCCTTCCACTGGGCTATGTGGGGGGGATGGGTTCATCCATCTTAGGGCTATAGTTTTGCAGAGTAATACAAAATGTTAAAGCTAAAAAAATACAATGTTTAGTTGTGTATGACGACATCTGCTCATAATATATATTAGCACCATATTTGTCACTTGATGTGATGTGCACCTAATACTAACAGGGTTATTCACAAAAGGGTGAAGAGTTTGGAGAAGGCAGGAGAAGTGAAGAATCTGGGCCAAAATAGCTGATTTGGACAAATTCTCCAATTCAGTTCACTTTCCAGTTCAGCTATGTTGTCCTAGATTGTTCACTTCTCCTGCCCTCTCCAAACTCTTCACCCTTTTGTGAATAACCCTGTTAGTATTAGGTGCACATCACATCAAGTGACAAATATGGTGCTAATATATATTATGAGCAGATGTCGTCATACACAACTAAACATTGTATTTTTTTAGCTTTAACATTTTGTATTACTCTAAATGTTTCAGAGACTGGCTGCTCCTGAGATACAATACAGGTGCCCCTTTCTGTGTGTATGTGACCAGGATTCATCACTGAATCATGTAATATGAAATCTTGGACATTTTGAAATGCTGCAAGGAAGATGGCAGTAATTTTTGGTTTTGCTGTCTACAGTGGTGTCGTGGTACAGAGATGATCAGCTGCTGTCCGCAACGCCTGGCATCACATTTCTAAATCATGGCAGGATCCTACAAATTGATAGAGTCAGCACCTCTGATGCCGGAGAGTATGTCTGTGTTGCATCTAATACAGCTGGCAACATTGATCTTCACTTCACTCTGGAGGTTCATGGTGAGCCCCTTTATTATTCCGTGTGGCAATCCTTTATTAGCCACATCTTATGTGGCAACTGCAACATTCTACCCATTGTATGTCATATATTTTATTTCATGCACTTATAATATACTAACTTTCTCCTTGCCTCCTTTATTTGTTAACCCCAGTACCGCCCAGAATTGTATCAATGACAGAACTTGCCACGTTCCTGGTGAATGAACAAGTTTGGTTGGAGTGCAATGCCACGGGGGTGCCTGAACCGACACTTATGTGGTTGAAGGACAAAGTTCCTGTTTCTACGGCCTCCGCTGGCCTCCGGGTGAGTAGATCAGTCTCTTCTCTATCTCTAGTGTATTTCTTTTATGGTCTTGTCAGTATTTCAGTTTCAGTTTGTGCAAAAAACTATTTACATGGTAAAATATATCAGGTCAGCTTAACATTTTTGGATTAAATATTTAAATATGCTTTTTTATTTTTTACTCAAGAAATGCAAAAAAAAAAAAGGGATTTTTGACCTTATAACAGGGTCATTTTTGGTTTTTCATTGACCGTTTTTATATTGACCATTGCAGAGCACCAAAGGGTTACATCTGCCAGTTTATTACTAGGTATCTGTAAAAGAGATTTCTTCTCACTTCCTGCCCTGGTGACTGCTGACTGTAAGTGAAAAGAGTCTCCCCAATTGAGACACAGACAGAAATAAAGATACAGTAGTGGTACTAAGCCTTCCCAATCTAATAAATACATATTTGTATTACTGTCCCGCACTTATCATCTTGGTGACTACTGTCAGTGGGCCAGTAAAACGAAGAAACTCCAGAAAGATAGTAAAGAAAAATCTTGAAGTGGTTCTAACCTTTTCCACTCTATCCAAAATTAAAAAAACAGGATTTTGTCTGGAAAACACTTTAAATTTGAATTGGATGCCAAACACTACAGGAGAAACTTACAGACTCCAACCAAATGAACTTCATCTGCTTTTAAATGTTAACACGTAACATGGACATTGCATAGCAATGTCATTCTAGCACTATAAACTACCGCTCAGCCCTGTAAGGTATAATATATAACAATGGTATGTTCAGGTAAAGACTGAGCACTCCATCCTGCTCATTTAGTCATAACATTGAATATAATACAGACCAGCTAATACAGCTTGTATGCCAATACTAGGGATACACCGATACCGTTTTTTTGGTATTAAGTACGAGTACTGATAATTATTTTTCAGTACTCGCTGATACCAATAACGGTGCTGTGTGCCCTGATTATCAGGAAGCCGGATGGTGGCTCATGACACGCCGCCCGGCTCCCTAATTGCCTGGAAAGACGGTGTTCTAATGAAAGAAGACCGGCTTTTCTCCCCGAGGCTGCCTGGCTTCCTGACCAATCATGAAGCTGGGTGCCCACCTGGCTTCCTGATTGGTCAGGAAGCCAGGCTGCCTAGCAACAAGTGAAACCAGCTTCCTAGCCGATCAGGAAGCCGGGTGGCACATCATGACCCACCTCCCGGCTTCCTGTTTGGCTAGGATGCCGGTTTCACTTGTTGCTAGGCAGGCTGGCTTCTTAGCCAATCAGAAAGTCGGAAGTTGGCTCCATGCTCCCTCGGCACTGCAGGTCAGAGGGAGATCTCCCTCTGACCAGAAGTTTCCAGTATCGGAGTTAAATATAGGAGCATTTGGGGCGAGTACGAGTACTCTCCCAAATACTCGGTTTTTGTCACCGATACTAGTATCGGTATCGGTGCATCCCTACCCAATACTTATGCTGATAAATTTATTTTTGTGATATCAGCCATTCCCATCCTTCTCTTCAACCCTGGCAGTATGCTAACCACTGTCTTTCATGAGATTTCAGAGGCAATGATGGAAAGATGAGTTCAGGAAGTTGGCTTTCTCTGCAATATGAGGATCTTAAACAGGACAGCTTCAGAATGCAATTTACACTGGGGATGCAGAGATTATATGAACAAGACAGTGGCACTACCAGCTCAGACAATGTACTTTGCACATAGTAGAACATACTTGAGCATAATGCAAGCTTTGATCTAAGACTGCCTTATTGATTTCTTTATTTTCTTGAACAGCTGAGATTGACTATTGATTGACCCAGGTTCTATCTTTGAATATTCAGGAGCTATAAATAAGACCAAGCAAACACAGTTTTGTGTTATTAATGCCTGGGTTTACAGACATGTGTTCACATTAATACTGCTTCTCTTACCATACATGTCAATGGGAATTCAAAAGCAACTTGAAGCAAGTCAAAAGGTGGACAGCAGCAGGTCAAGTGCACCTGCCAATACATTTTAAATGATGTCAGAAGCAAGTCAAAAGCAAGCTGCATTTGCTCATAAACACAAACCCAAGGGCCATCTACCTAGGCCCAGGTTTTTTTCTTGAGACAGTGCAAGGGTCATTATTGAGATACTAAATATGTAGCCCATAGCAACCAGTCAATTTTCACTTGGGTTGCTGTGGGTGACTGGATCACTTCTTGGTTCACTGACTAAGCTCTCATTTCTTATATAACCCATATTGAGCCCAATCTTTGGTATACCCGTTTCTAACAAGTCTTTTGTCCTTCAGATTTTGGAGCAGGGGAGAATCCTCTCCTTGTCTGCAGCCCATGTATTGGATTCTGGAATCTACACTTGTGTTGCTGTTAATTCTGCAGGGGAGGACAGTCATGATACGGAGCTGCAGGTCTACCGTAAGTAGGAGGGGTTAGTCCCTTGTCTTATATGTTGAAATAACAAAGGTATAGTTAGCCAGCGCCCTTCCACAATGGGCTTCTGAACTATTCAGTATATAGGTATACATGTATGAAGTTTACTTTCTGTAGACTAGCCTGCCATCACTACCCCACTGTTAATATATGGTGTTGTGCTATGCTTTTATAATTATGTATGAACTCCATCCAAATACCTGAAGATATGGTTCAAACAAAAATAAGTGAACCGTTTTACCTGCCAGTTAGTTGTATTCTTGACCAACCAGTCTTGTGATTAAATAACCCATGGCACACAACATGACCAGAAAGGTGACAACTCTGTTCACTACTTCAGCTTTGTCACCCGGCTACTCATTGGATAATGAATGAGCATCATCAAGCTGCTGACTTTCTGTTTGAGTTCCTCACCTGCCAAAAAACCTCTGCATTGTTAGCAGGTTAAAATGCTCTCTAATCATTAAAAGAGAACTATGGGGTTCAATAAAAACTTATTATGTGAAAAAAAAGAGAACTATGGGGTAAGTGTTTTTCCCCATAGTTCTCCTAAGGGTCAAGGGAGGATATAAACTAGCGTCCTCCCGTCACCCAAAGCTCAGTATATCGTGAGTTACAGCTCGCGGTATACTGAGACCGCCGCAGCCGGGGCAGAATCCGACATTACTGTCGAGATCCAGCCAGCTGAACCCGCCCCCTCCCCCATCCGTTCCTCCAGTCAGTGCTGGAGGATCAGACAGGGGAGGGAGAATCCCTGCAGGGAGCCATGAGTCACAGTCACGGCTCTCTGCAAGGAGATGATCGAGAAGTGAGTGAGCGACGGTATGTGTTCGCTCACTTCCCGATCTATTGAGCCGACGTGTGACAGTTTCATTGTCACACGTCGGCTGAACTATGAGGATGAGTGAAAATCACTAACCTCATAGTTCTCCTTTAATACATAATTAAATATAGTTGTTTTTTTAATGCAAGCTGTGTACGTAACTGAAATTGACCTGGTATCAGCCTCTTGCAGTCCCTGTACAGCAGCGCTTGGGTATGAGAGGAAGAAGCAGCACAAGGTGCCAGTAAGTGCTGCTTCACTTTTTACTATCCAGTCACAGTTTGGGGGTGGGTCCAAGACAGTCTGGGTTTAGAATAAGTGGGATGTATGGTGCTGGCCATCAGACTGATGACTTCTAATGGCAGAAACGCGTAATGTGGGATAAATCTCTGAACTGAGGGTGAATATTGCAGCAAAAGTAGCTTTTTGTTAAATGATCTTTTGATGGGCTATTCATTTTTATCTAGGTTATTTTTGCCTGGAGTGCTTCTTTAACATTTTTGAATTGGAGTACAGGTTCACTTAAACGGAAGCAATGGGTTACCATTCGTTCCCTGATTGCAGTTGAGAGGGACTCCTTCAGTGATGTCAGTAATTAAAGGACTTGATGTTTTGTGTGTGAAATACATGCATCTGCATACATTTCAGCAATGTATCTGGCTACTATTATAAATGGAAAATCAGGGGAACGTGATCAGACATGACTAAACCAATGCACTGTTTACAGCGCCATTCTTACATACAGTGTTTTGGCAACAACAGATAACAGATTCTGTTCATCCTATTTTCTCTCCTGTAATTGACAAGTAATAGGCAATTACTGTTACGGACACAGATCTTGGCTTTTTGTTACTGTTGGCAGCAGTTATCTTCTGGGACGTCTGCCAAGCTATACAGATATGATCATTATTCTACTATTGTTAGCATTGTTCTGTTCTGGTACTATGTAGGAAGCTGGGAATTATGCCAATTTCACTATTGCTACATTTCTATAATGTTCTCTCTCATATTATTCTGAAAACTGTACCTGGACATTATCCATGAGGAAAATATGTCCTATTAGATGTACTTTCCTAAGGAACACTAAAAGTGGGCCTATTATTAGAGATTACACAGTTCACATGGATCTCTGGTGCATCTGTTAGCATTGCCTACATTTGCTAAAGTGGACCATTAAAAAGGAAGGTCCTCCTTGCTGGTATCCGACCACTCTCTTATGCTGGGTTCACACCATTTTCCGGGCCAGATCTGGAACATAGTGCATTGCGTTTTTGCTGTGTTATTACCGCAATTTTGCTGAAATTTGATTTTTTACCCGGTTAAAATGGTGCGTTTCATGCGTTTTTGATCCGTTCCAGTGCATTCCAGACCAGACAAAATAGGGCAAGCAGTATTTTTCTGGTCTGGTCTGGAACAGACTACGGTGGTGGGAACAGAGGCCAGAAATATCATAGGGATACATTGGGATGCATTTTTGGTCCAGAAACAGTCTGGTCTGGAGGTAATCTGGATGTGGTGTGAATGGGTCCTGAATACAAATAGTTTTACTATGGCCCTAACCCCATAGTTCTCCTTTAAAGTGACACTAAACTCAGGAATCCAATCTTAAAAATGCATGCAAGTACCTTAAATAGTAACAAAAATGTATCTTATTTGTGTATCACTCGGCTGTAGATCCTGAAATCATCTCTGAATTGGTGCTGATATTGTCCTTCCTTCTGGAGGGTGACTACTTTTGTTTCCCATGGTCCCTGTGTGTGTTGTAAAGTAGCCAAAGCTCCAAGATCACTCCCCTGATAGTTAAGGTCCTTGAATGCATTTTTAAGATGACTTTAAAGCCCATTTTAAACTTGGAGGTTAAACCAGCTAAATTCCAGCATTTCAGGTATTCCGGGTACTTTAAAAAAAAAAAAAAAAGGCCCCTTTTCCACCATATTTGTGCATACATGATGCACACTTGACATGTGCCGAATCATCAACATAGTGCATCTATGTTAAAGATGATTTGGGACGTGCACCAAATATTGGAAATTGCAAAGTATGATTTGTCACAGGAATGTTGCAGCTTCTGCCCTCTATCAACTAATATCTGCACTATGATGTAGAGCGGATGTTACCTGCAGATCTGCACCTGGTCTTGTCATTTGCAGTTCTGCACATTGATCTGACTCCCTCTGATAAGCAACTGTGCAGGCGAAGCTGCCTCCTGCTACCTAGCTGAGCAGAGGAGGTAGCTGGCTGGCTCCCTGTGATGAGGAGCTTTGGCTCGAACTTAATAATCGGCTAACTAACCGATTATGAAAATAATCGTTAGCTGCAGCTCTACATTCAACACCCGTGCTTGCACAGTGTGCCCTCTTTCACTCTGTTGCGGCAGCTGCGTTGTGTGACAGGGATAGAAAGAGCGCACATGCACGGGTGTTGAATGAGTTAGAGCAGTTGTTGCTGCAAAGCTAGAGGTGCCCACCCAACATCCAACTCAGGGGAGGAGGGGTCACCTACCTAGAAGTTTTTTGGACAGGCTCGGGAGAGGCTGTGCACAACCTACAGGTATGACATTGTTAAGCTTCTTTTTTTAAATCGGAGCAGTCTTTTTTAATTTACTGGGAAGACTTGAGCTATTGTGGGTAACTTGCTGCTAAAGGGAAGATATCTGTGCGGAGCTACCAATATTTCTAACCAGGCCTCTAGTCTGAATAATATCGCCCTCCTTGTATGTAGTGTTGTACTAGTCCTTGAAATATAAGTAATGTGCTTACTCTTGTCTTTCTGATTCACCTTGCAGTGCCCCCGAGCATTATGGGGGAAGAGTTCAATTCATCAGTCACCGTGCATCAGCCAGTCACCTTGGAGTGTCAGAGCAATGCCTTCCCACCGCCTACAATCACCTGGCTAAAAGATGGACGTCCGCTTCCTAAAAGGGCCGGGATCCGGGTGACAGAGAATGGCCGCTACCTTCAGGTTGGGTATCATTCTACCGTATTATTATAGATAACAACGTCCTTTTGCGATATTTCTGTTAAAGGAGAACTATGGGGTCAGTGTTTTTCCCCATAGTTCTCCTTAGGGTAACGGGAGGACACAAACTAGCGTCCTCCCGTTACCCTAAGCTCAGTATCCCGCGAGCTACAGCTCACGGTATACTGAGGCGCCGCAGCCGGAGCGGATCCCGACCTGGACGTCGGGATCCGCCCAGCTGTGTGAGTGACAGCTGGCTCTGCCTATCTAGAGGCAGAGCCAGCTGTACCCGCCCCCTCCCCCGTCCGTTCTGCCAGTCAGCGCTGGCGGATCGGAGCGGGGAGAGGGGAATCCAGCCCCTCCCCCTGTCACGGCAGAGAGCCGTGACAGGATCGAGAGGTGAGCGAACCCGGTATGTGTTCGCTCACCTCCCGATCTACTGAGCCAACCTGTGACAGTCTCATTGTCACAGGTCGGCTAGAACTATGAGGATGAGTGGAAATCACTCATCTCATAGTTCTCCTCCTTTAACACCTATAAAAAAAAAACGATTAGGGTCTTCCTTACCCATAAGGCCAATTGCTGTTTAGCTGACAGAGTGCTTACAAGGGCTGTATTCATCATAATGGCGTTTTGCGTTGCTTAATCAGCTCATTCATTTTGAAAGGACTGTGTTACTTAAAACATGTATGCAATATTTTTTTTATGAAACATTCCACAATGAACCGATGGTTCACATCTGATGTTCATGATGGTTCACATGTGTTTGCTGCCTTACTGCGCATTATGGTAATGCACAATAGAAATCTGTGCTTTACTGCACGTTACCACAACGCACTACTGTAAATAAGCTCTTTTACTTCCTGTTTAATGTGCTCCTGTATTTAAAGAGACCCTGTTGCCAGACAATTCATTTTAACAAAAATCTTTCCATAAGAATATTTGTGCATTGAATGTATTTCATGCATGTTATTAACCTGTAAAATCCTCAGTTGTGTAGACATTTATAAGGACTGAGACTGCTGCTGGGAGCCGCCATCTTGTTCCCCTTCACTCCTCCCCTGGCAGCAACATAAAAAATCGAGGAGCTGGATCAGCACAGAGAGCAATTAGACACTCCCAGAAGAGGAGAGGGCTCTGACATACAAGGAGGGAAGGGGACTGTGGTAGGGTACTGACACTTTTCTGGAGTGTCATATTCCCAGCATGTTCAGAGATGCATTGCAAGTTAATAAAAGTGCAGCAAGGAAGCATTTAAAACTATTGATTTTTCCGTACTTTTACCTGCAATATTTGATAGTTGGTAATGGTTGGTGACAGTGCCTCTGGGTCTCAGGTTCACATTAGTAAATGACACATCGTTTACACGTATGTTATATGCTATTCCACAGATTGACCAGGCTCAGCTGCGAGACACTGGACGATACACCTGTGAGGCCTCCAATGATGCCGGACGTTCTGAGAAGCATTATAATGTCGTCATCTGGGGTATAAGACTCTGTATCAATTACACAGTGCTAGCTGTATTAAGGAGAATATGTACACATTAGTGCTGGGCCAGTGCGGTTAAACCTATCATTAGCCTAAAATGCAAGTGAGCTCAATACTTTGAAACTAGGTGTATGCAGGCCATGTGTCTGAGAAAGGCAGCGTCCATCTGAGACTTCTCATGCAAGTATTTTGAAATGTACATCACATGTACTTACTGTAAATGTTAGAAAAAGTATCTGCAGACTTTAAAGACCCATATTTAAAGTTTATGTAAACACAGAATCTATTTTTCAATATGTTTGACAATTAACAGCAGCATTGTCAGCTGACTGTGTGCCCTATAGTTTCCAAATGGGGGTATCTCTGCACCCTTTTCCCACACTAGGTTCCCTTTTCTGGAAGCATCCAGGATGTGGGTACTGAGCTCATCTGTGCTCCAGCCTTGCTTGAAACATAAATGAAATAACCACCCTCCATAGATCCACTGAATTTTGCATTAGTAATCCCCTTCCTTCAGTCAGCCGTCTCTAACCCATTTCGCCCATTTGGGCTTAATCGGCCATGTGCCCTCCTTCAGTTGCCTATTGTGCAGACATGATAGGAGCCCACGGTAACACTTAAGGTGCTCACATTGCTGGCTGACAACATTGCTGCTTATTGGAAGATGATAACTCAGTGTTGTCAGCCTGAAACAAGAACATGTTAGTGGCAGGAACTCCAGATAAGAAACTTGGCAATAGGTTGAAAAAAAAATTGTTTGCTTAAAAGAGAACTATGGGCCAACCTTTTTTGCGCATAGTTCTCCTCAGGGTACAGGGGGACATATACTAATGCCCTCCTGTTACCCAAAGCTCAGCATATAGCGGGATCTTGCCCGCTATATGCTGAGAGCACAGAGCCACGCCACGGGTCTTGACAGTATAAACTGATTGACAGCTGTGCCCGACGCTTCCCCCCGTCCGTTCCGGAGAGGGGAGGGGGGAATCCCTGTGGGGAGTGGTGACTGACGGTCACCATACTCTGCAGGGAGAGGATCGCGAAGTCTGCGAGCGGTGGTGTGTGTTCACTGACTTCCCAATCAATAGAGCCGACCTGTGACAGCTTCATTGTCACAGGTGGGCTTGAAATATGGGATTAGTGTTTTTCACTCACCCCATAATTCTCCTTTAAGACAAATATATACAGTGAGGCATAATGCCAAATGTACTTAAAAATAATTTTCGGGCTTTACATATACTTTCATCCAGTCATATGGAAATCCTTAAAATCATTCTTTGACGGTACCTCAATCTCGTTTCTTTTGGCTTCCTGTAATCCTCTGTACAATAAGGCTCTGACTAGAAGAGGAAGGGGCACCAGTGTAAGCCTGTAATCCGCTTCTGCTGCATTCCTCAGTGCTCTTCAGCTAGCTCAAAGAGCTTGATGATGGTAAGAAACCCCATCAGTGTGCTGCTGTTCCTTCACTATCCAGTTGCAAGATGTATTGCTAGACTGCAGTAGAGAAAAGTGAGATCAGCGATCTGCCCAAACTGTCTAGGGGAAGGACTACAGTTCATAATGGATGTTCCTCCCCTTAAGCAGAGATCATGGGAAATATATCAATTTTCTCCAGGAAATTGTATTATTTTCTGTTAAAGGAGAACTATGGGGTCCAAGCTTTTCTTTACTTTTGGATTCCATGGGCTATAGGAGTAAATTTTGCAATTTACTTCTATAATCCAAAATGCACCCAAACCATACAATCGTTACTTTAAGATGGTGGGCGGGGCTAAGCACTGCAGTGGGGAGAGATCCCGACTGTACTGTCGGGATCCTCCCAACTGATCGTTCTCACTGTGCCTGACGGCGTTCCTTGAGAACTGCTGCGCATGCCCATGTATTCGTGGACGCGGAGCAGCTCTCTTCCTACCTCCACGTCCCATCGTCTGTGCCAGCAAATGACAGCGCGTGCATGGAAGGCCGTTTCTACTCAGTGCCTCCGCCCCTCCTTCCTCTCCGTCTTGAAAATGTGCAGCAGTTGTATGGAAACCTGTTGCCCCTAAATCTTAGTTCCCCCTGACCGTTCAGCTATTACCATAACCCCGCCCCTTCTCTCTTCAGCTGCTTAGTATTTACATAGCCCCACCCCCTCTCTGCAAGCTCCGGTGTTCTATGAGAAAGAGACGAATTGTGTGCTCTGATCGTTCAGGGGAGACAAGTCAGAGATTTCCTGTACAGTGGGGGGGAGGGGGAAGCTGAACGATCAGAGCACACAATGTGAGAGGAGACATTCGTCTCTTTCTCATAGAACACCAGAGCTTGCAGAGAGGGGGCGGGGCTAAGCAGCTGTAAGGAAGGGGTGGGGTTATGGTAATAGCTGAACGGTCAGGGGGAACTAAGATTTACGGGAACAGATTTTCATACAACTGCTGCAAGCATCTGGTTACTGAGAGAGAGCAGGAGAAGATCGGTGAAGAGAGAGGGAAATACTGGTACGAGAGAGGGAAAGAGAATGGAGGCTGAGTCAGCTTGCTGCTTCTCAGTTGAGACTCTGCCTCCTGCTCCCACATGTCAGCGTGTACACTCCAGCCGTGCACAGTGTGCTTGACTAGAGAAAGCACGGCCACGGCAGATAGAGTTAGAAAAGAAAAGCTGAGGGCGGGGCTGCATTCCCTGTTAACGCCCCCTAAGAGGAAAGGAGCTTGGAGCATGGCTGCAGGTGGCTGTTTTCTGTGACTTGTGATTAATTTATCTGGGATGTGTTGCGACTTTGGAAAAGAAGAAGAATGCTATTAGAGTAAAGGCAAGAAGTACTTTTATTTGCCCTTAGGTCATAATTCTCCTTTTATCTTTACCCATTTCAGTAAACTGTTATTATAGCTTTATGTTATCATTTGAATCTGTTAAAGCATATACTTACGATTTTTTTGCCAACAATCACCTTTAATTTAGTCTTTTTTTTTTAGTCCCTCCTAGTTTCCCAGGATCCTCTGAACCTCCCCTGCCAGTCATCGAAGGGCAGCCAATTAGCTTTTCTTGTGAATGTCAGGGCTCTCCACCTCCTCTTCTTACCTGGATGAAGAATGGTAAGTGATTATAATGTATTCACATGGTGGAGATAACATAATGCAGTTATAATGCAGAGATTTACCTTCATTTCCTGTCTTGAAGATGCAACAGGAAATATTCATTTATTACAGGTATTTATATAGCGCCAGCAATTTACGCAACGCTTTAGATAGGTGCACATTCACATCAGTCCCTACCCTCAACGAGCTCACAATCTAAGGTACCTATCTCACATACAGGGCCAATTTAGACAGGAGCCAATTAACCTACCAACATGTCTTTGGAGTGTGGGAGGAAACCGGAGTACCCGGAGGAAACCCACGCTCGCACAGGGAGAACATGTAAACTCCTTTTTGCAGATAATTACCTGGCCAGGATTCGAACCAGGGACCCCCAGTGCTGCAAGGCAGAAGCGCTAACCACTACGGCAATGTGTGGATAATTCCCCTCTTGGACAGTTGCCTCCAGAACATTTGTCCCCTTTGGACGATCCCCCCTCACTTTCCCGCTCTGGTGACAATTTCCTCATTTTGGGTTTCCCCTCAGTTTCAGGCATGGCTAAAATAGTCTCTAAGATAGAAAGAGCAGTAAATCTTCCCAGCCAGTACACCGATTACAATACAAACTTGACAGGGGGCCTAACCCTTTCCCATTATATCCAAAACTGAAAATAATTTGCCTAGAGATAAACCTTAAGAGCCTGTGTCAATGGGCTTTTGTTCATGTTAGAACTGCTGCTCTCCCCATACAAGTCAATGAGAATACAAAAGCAGCTTGAAGCAGCCTAGAAGGTCAAATGCACAGTGTAATGTAAATGATCCCAGAAGTGTCTGGAATTGATGTAAGATGCAAGCAGTATGTACCTGAAAGCAGGCTTTAATAGTTCATCGACGCAAGCACAAAGCCCATCAACACAGGCCCCGCCCTGATAATACTGAAGAATGCTCTTAATGAAAGGGAATAATGACCATCTGTAAGTCGGCAATGGAAACTCCCATACCTCTACTCCGACAAGTTACCTTTAGAGTTAAGAGTTTTCTTGAACTGTATCTTTGTCCTGATGCAGGGTCTCCTCTGGAGGGTGAGGATGTGGCTCTGGTGTCAGCCGGAGGAAGGTTACTACAAATCAATAAGGTCCGGGTATTGGATGAAGGAAATTACACCTGTGTGTGCAGCAATGAGGCTGGCAGCACACAGAGGGACTACTGGCTGGAGGTCTATGGTAAGACGGATCAGAGACTGATTCTTCTATGACTCTCTTATTCTCATATTTGTAAAGCAATCTTTTTCTGACTTCTTGAACTCTTCTGTGGTTCTCTTCCTGGTTTGTACATTTTCTGAGCCAAAAAAAATTAATTCCTGTTCATTTCATTGTAATTGTGGTGAAGTTCTACTTTAAGGTTGAACTCTAGGCACAAAAACTTTCATTTAAATATATTCCTTAATAGCCACAAAGTGGCTATTATAAATTCACTTTGTGTACCAAATTGAAAGTTTGCCTTTGCAAATATTGCAGATATTGCCTTGTAAAAGTCGCAGTGACATCATCACTGTGCTGCTGACCCAGCAGGCATCGACTACTACAGGCTGCCTGCAGAAAACTACAGGGGGGGGCGGATACAAGATCAGTCGCCCTGCACAAGTAGAGAGAGCAGCATTGACCGGTCTTTATTACAGGAAGCTCTTACAAAGTCATAGTCTAGCTTTTCCAAAGAATAATAAATGCATACATCATTAAAAAAAAAGAATTGCATTTAGTATTTTTATTTAATAAGCTGGACCATGCCTTTGTTGGAGTTCCAGTTCAGTGTTAGCTTCAATGTTGCAATTTTCTTCTTATATTATTATTATTAAGCAGGATTTATACAGTTTGCGCAGCGCTTTACAATATAAGGAAGACATTACGAATACAATGAAATTCCAGACAAGATGGTAACGAGGGCCCTGCCCCTGAGGGCTTACAATCTAACAGGGAGGGAGAATTGATACATGAGGAGGTAGCTGTGTGGGCATGAATTGTTTGGGAACGTGATGGTTCAGTGGTTAGGTTGAGGTGGGATATATTGTATTATATTGTACTGAACAAATGAATGACCTGTTATAAGCATGCAGCCAGTGAAATATCAGTACGCCAGATGTTCCTCCTAGTTTCAGGTCGTTGATGCACTAAGTGCTGACGCAAGAATGAGAGAAATAACCCCAAACCTTGCACCTTTAATTGTAAGTCAGCAATAGCGGTTCCCATATCTCTGTCATGTTAGTGACAGGTTAACTTTAATTGTCAGTTTGTGCTTTACTGTCCACTTGCTATTTTTTTGTATTTATTCTGAACACTTTCAATACAACAGTACAGCCTTATTCTGTTATAATAGGAGACAGCGCCGTGACTTTGGAATGTGTGGTCAGTGGCAAGCCTGCTCCCTCGGTGACCTGGCTGAAGGATGGTTTTCCATTAGGTGGCGGAAATGACCTGATATTGAAGAACAAGGGGCAACATCTGATCATTTCCCAGGCTCTGCCATCACACTCTGGCCGATACGTCTGTGTGGCAGTAAATGCCGCGGGGCAAACAGATATTAAATATGATCTCGTGGTGCAGGGTGAGTCCATCTGTATCAGAATTCAGATTTAAAGGGCAAGGCCTGGTAGGGTTGGGGCTACCCTTTTCTTTATTAACAGGGGTACAGAAACACTGTCTCATTATTACTTATCAATATCTGTGACAAACAGCATAAAAAAGCACTGAAAACCTCAGTTTTTTCCCAAGGTTTATAATGAGGCTTCTGTAGAGTAGGGATTTCATTCATAATTACGGATACAGTCATCCCATATAGGGTTATTCACACACTGTCACAATACTGCAGTCCAGGTGAGCACCAGTACAACAGACTAAAATGCTCTGCGTAAGGTGATCTCAACAGATGGGGATTGGTTTTAACACCCCAGATTGTGTGCCTGCAGGGTCCAGTGATGGAAATTTGGCAGCTGCAATCTGATTGTACAATGCCCTTCAGATCTACCAACAGCTATGGAGTACAAGGGTCTGCCTGATTGTATACCAATTGGGTGAATTGCCAAGCAGGTCCTCAAGTTACATCATTGAGATTATACAGATATTGTCCAATCAGATTGTAAAGTGTAAAACTTTATGGAGATTGTACAGTTAAATATGTAATCAGCAAAAGAAAAAAACTTTCTCATAGGAAATTCTACTGGTTTACTTAATCTGATAACCAGTCAGGTAGGCCATTGTGTAAGATTACATAGCTGTGTACAGGAGGTTGTACAATCAGTGTGTAATATCTGAGGCTAGCTTAACACTGTGGGGCCCAGAGATTCTTGATTCTCAATGTGATCACGTTTGTTGAGGAAGCTCATGACTCCAAGAACTTTATCTGCTTTTTCAGTCAATGCTTAATGATGCCCATTTTCTTGTAATTTCAGTGCCGCCAGAAATTGCAGGTCCACAGGCCGAGCCACGCAATGTGTCAGTAGCTTTACATGGTAGCTTCACTCTGATCTGTGAGTCTTCCGGAATACCTCCTCCGACCAACACATGGTACAGAAACAACATCCCACTTGCGTCACAGGGGAATATCCACGTTCAATCAGGTAATACATCTTAAAGACAAACGCTTGTCTTTGTATTTCCAGGGGGAGCCCGTAACAATGGAGCAAAGAACATTGCCTGTGGTCACCAATGTAACTAACACTACATCAACATTAAAAACGTCTATTCAATTTGTAGTATATCACAGACCCCATAGGCTGCCTGAAAATAGACTATATGGTTAAATGTTTGCAGACACCTGACTATCACACCTATTTGGGCATGTTGGACTTTCCATTCTAATACCATGGCCATTAACATGGAATTGCCTCTGACCCATTTTGCAGCTATAACAACCTCCACTCTTCTGAGAAGGCTTTCCACAGGATTTAGGAGTGTGTCTTTGGGAATTAGTTCCCATTTAGTCAATAGAACATTTGTGAGGTCAGGTGTTGGATGAGAAACCTTGGCTCACAATTGGTGTCCTAGTTCATCCCAGAGGTAGGTTTGAGGTCAGGGATATGTGCAGGCCACTCGAGTTCCTGAACATCAAACTTGTCATACCGTGTCTTTATGGAGCTGTGCATGGGGGCAAAGTCATGCTGAAACAGAAAAGGGTCTTCCCCAAACTGTTCCCACATGGGTAGAAGCACACGGTTGTCTACAATGTTTTCACACATTAGCAGTATCTTTTACTAAACCCAATCACTTTGAGGGGGTATCAGTACACTTTTGGCCATGTAGTGTGCGTTTTGCCTTGCATTTTGACTCTTTAGCTCCATCTGGGGCCCCCTTGAAGTTTCTCTACCTTGAGCAAGAGTGACCTTTCAGTAGGCTCACACATTGGGGCATGGGCAAACTTAAACAATCTGAAAGTCTCTAAACTCCCTTTGGGAGGCTTTTGGGCAGCACCAAATGGGCCAAGACAGAAAGGATAAAGCATATGCTGACAGCCTATTCCATCTAGTAACTCTTACAGTTATTAATTTAATACAATTATGGTCTCCAAAGGTTGAAGGCATATCTTTGTAACAACAGGAATTGTAATGTATTTAGACTAGTAAACCAATGCTGGTTAGAGGTAAAATATTTCAGTTTTATCTGGAGTTCTGCTTTAGCTGCAATGGTTTTGCTATTCTCTCTTTACTATAGGACATATGCTTGGGGCTGTTATGGTATTAGAATATCTAAGTTTTTACTTTAAATAATCCAGTCTGACGTAAATTCTTATCCGTTCCTCTACCTCTTTCTTAATTTTACTGATTAGGTGGACGTGTCCTTAAAGTGGTACATGCAGACATTGTGGATGGCGGTGTTTATGCTTGTTTGGTCACAAATGCTGCAGGCGAAGCCAGAAAGGAATTTGCTGTGGACATCTTGCGTAAGTATCAGGAAGACTATGGGTAGTAAAGGGTAAATTCACCTTTATAAACAGAAGATATTTTAAACCAGGCAATAAACTAATTCCTTTTGGAAACCATGTTGATTATCTGCTTTGTTCTGCCGATACTGAGTATTTGGGCGAATACTCACCCAAATGCTCCAATACTTACCTCCAAAACAAGAACTTTCCGTCAGAGGGAGATCTCCCTCTGTCTGGCAGTGCCAGAGGGAGCAGGGAGCCGGCTTCCTTTGCAATCAGGAACCTGAACGGCGGGTTATAACCCACCTCCCGGCTTCCTTGATTGCTAGGAAGCCGGCTTCACTTGTTGCTAAGCAGCCTGGCTGCCTTACCAATCAGGAAGCCTGGCAGCACGTCATGATCAACCTCCTGGCTTCCTGATTGATCAGGAAACCGGGCTGCCTAGCAACAAGTAAAGTTGGCTTCCTAGCCAATCAGGGAGGGGGGTCATGACGTGCCTTCCGGCTTCCTGATTGGCTAGGAAGCCTTCTTCACTTGTTACTAGGCAGCCTGGCTTCCTGACCAATTAGAAAGCCGGACGGCACCTCATGACCCGCCACCCGGCTTCATGATTGGTCAGGAAGCCAGGCAGCTTCGGAAAGTGTAGCCAATGTTCTTTTGATAGAACACCGGCTTCCTGATAATCGGGGCATACGGCATCAGTATTGGCGAGTACCGAAATTTTTTTTATTTTATTTTTTTATTCCATTGTGCTCTGTTAAAGTTGAGCTCTATACTTACCTTCAGTCTTGCACAGTTATATAGACTTCCCTGCTGGACTGAAATTGCTTACTCTGATTTCACTTAACACTGTCAGCTTCTCATAATGTGCATTAGAAGCTGCAAGCCTAGAGCCCACCTCATTTCCAGCATCATCTAGTACTTTCTTCCCCATCCTTATTGTCTCTGGCCAGCCCCTTTCATTCATTAGATTTCAGTTCAGTTGATCATGGAATCACAACATCACAAGTAGGTGTTGCCTAGGGCGGTCTGCATGGAAATGCAGCCTGCCTATGAATGCCCACTCCTCCAGACTGACATCTATGCATCATGTAGATGACTCCTCCCAAGACCCAGCGTACTGTTTCCATTAGAGCTAAGAGCTCTGGATAGGAGTACTGAGGCAATTATGTTTTCAGGAAGCCATGTACACCACCCTGGTGCCCCCC